AGTAATCCGCTCGCTGATCGATAGAAAACAGCGGATCAACATCGGGAACTTTTTGTCCATATCGATGGAAACTGTAATTTGACAGCTTGCAGGACCCGATGAAACCAATCTTCCGTCGGTTTTGACATATCGCCTCGCGTTGGCGGCGTACAGAACGCCAAACCCCAATTTTTCTGAAACTTGAATCGGCAGTGGTGATGGCTTAATTCCAGATCGAGTAGAGATGGACAAGGCGCAGCTATAAAGCCAAGGCGGAAACACTGCTTGGGGATGAACCGCCGCGGCAGAATCGCCCTGGCGAGACAAGGCGGTGGCGTAACTCTAATTCTTCTGTGACCGATTACGCCGATGCAGATCCTTCTGAACTGAGACTTCTTTCATCCGGAAAAATTGCAAACCTCTCGATCCCTAGTTGAGATCCCTCCAAGAACTCATCACCATCGTGCACCAACTGTCGTGTAATTGTCACGGCAGATGTCCTTAGTGTCAGGACTTAGTCACGAGGCCAGTGCATCTATGTGGTAGCTTGAGAGGGGTTGATTGGGACGAGAGACGCAACACGCAAGACAAGGATTTAGACAGCTTCGGGCCCCGGGAAACATCATCCGGTAATAACCCTACATGCTGTTTGTGGCTAGGTCTCATTATGATCATGAGAGAGTCGCCGGTAGCCGGCTCTTTCTGTCTAGCCCTAGAGATTGTTCTTGTCCCCCCCTTTGGGGTGCCCTGTCCCTCCTTATATATGTTGAAGGGGCGGTTTACATGACTAGTCCTAGTTGGATTAGGATTACTTTATTATAAGTGGAGTCCTAGTCTTGCTTTCTTTGTAGGAGAATATTCCTTATGTCTTCCTCTTAAACCGGCCCACCATTAACATGAACCGGCCTTCTGGGCCTTGGGCCTTGTCATCCGTCTGACCCGCTCGCCGGGTCACCAGTGAGTCATAATGACTAGGCGGGTTGCTTGTAAACCGCCAGGTCAGGGCGGGTTGCCAGTGAATCGCCAAGTGTAAGCGGGGTCTCAAGTAAACCGCCAAGTCCGACCGGGTTATACTTCCGGCCGGTTTACACCGCGGGGTATATCCCCGACACACAAGGTTCTTCCATTAGTCCACTCCTACTATTAAATGAGAGTCTATCGTTGTAATGATTCCACCACCTCTTCGCATTACAAAAATTCTCACTTCCACCTGAAAAAGAAAACAACCAACACGTTTGTCCTATGTCCCAACCACCGCTCAACTAGAAAAGCATACAAACGGACGGGCATTCAGGTAGTAATCATTAAAGGTACAATGCTTTTGATCAAAGATTTTAAAAACTACCACGTAACTCCTATAAAACTAAAAATTACACTAAAATCTTTCAGATATACCTGCTCCAAGGTAATAATTTTTGACAAAGGTGCAGTGACACCACCACTCATACATCTGCACGAACCAGATTATCAATTGAGGTTTCAAAGAGCCCCTTGAGTTGCCCATCTAAAACGATGGGAAACCGTGAGCGATGAACGAACTTGGGACGGGATTATCCCTTGAAGTGCAAATTGTCGAATCACCAGATCTTTGTCATATTCCTCCAACTTCACAAATATCCGAACTAACAAAAGCACAAGGACACATCGATAAAAACTCAACAAATTTGTAGGATCGGTCCTGCAATGACACAAACTCAAGATATCTACCAACATACTTAACATTTAAGCCGACGTATGTGGATGCCGTTCTTCTCCTTGGAGACGTCGTTTTATCTACCCCTCCTTGTTCAAATTTCGGTTTTACTTTACCGCCTGGCCCGTCACTAGGTGCGCCCCTTGGTACGGTGCCCCACTTGGCGAGATGGGTTGCAGCACTCCTTGAAGACTTGTGCTTATCGTGAGGATCAAGCGACTTCTGATAGATTTTGTGCTTAGCTTAGCTATGCTTGTTCCCATGCGTCTTTGGTCTCCTGTTTGGCCTTTTTGTGCTTTCATTATATAGCTGGTATGCTCAACTACGTTGGTGTGTGTGAACTATCTTTGGGGCGTGGGGTATCTGGTCCCGAGCTCAAATGCACCCTGATGAACAGTAAAATAAAAAAAATAGTAAAAAGGAATTAAAAAATTATGAATATTTTTGTGGTAAACTTTGACAAGTATTCTGTATGCTTGCCAAGTTTCAGCACAAAATGACATTCGTGAAAGTTGTGGGAAAAAACAAAATCGATGATCTAGAAATGCTAGTTTTGAAGACATTTTGGGGTAGTATTTTTTTTTGCCACAATTTCCATGAATGTCATTTCATGCTCAAATTTTGCAGGCATAGAAACCATTTGTCAAAGTTTACCACAAAAAGATTCAGAATTTTTTGAATTTGTTTACTTTTTTTTGGATTTACTGTTCATAAGGGTGCATTTGAGCTTGGGATCAGAATAGGACTTTCGCTATCTTTGTGCTATGTTGGTTGGTTGGTGGCGGGGCGAAGAGCCTTTTTGGGCACTTAACATTTAGGAGGTACAAGGGTTTACGACACCCAGTTGCAGGGTTTATGACTGCTCAGTTGCAGAAGTGTTTACTAACTAGTTAAAGTAAGCTGTAGGGAGCATTCTAGATTCAACCCTGATGAGAGCCAACGAACATAATGCGGAAGCCCTGAAGTCAACACTAGATTTATATTTTGCGGCGTCGGGACAGCTGGTAAGTGTCGAAAAATCCAGCATTTTCTTTTGCCCTAACACAAAGGTAGAGATCAGAGAACAGTTGTGTACAAGGCTAAATATAATGACGGAAGCTCTGAATGACAAATACCTGGGCTTACCAGCAAATGTGGGTGTTGACAAAACAGACTGCTTTAAATTCCTGATTGAACGCATTGTTAAGAAAATTAGTGGTTGGAAGGAAAAGTTACTATCTGCCGGGGGGAAGGAGATCCTATTAAAGGTGGTGATCCAAGCCATACCTACCTATGTAATGTCGGTCTTTAAAATTCCTAAAAAAAATTGTAAAGGAATTATTGACGCGAAAGCGTATTTCTGGTGGGGAGATGAGGAGAACTAAAGGAGGATGCACTGGATGGCCTGGTGGAAAATGTGTATACCAAAGAACCAGAGGAATGGGGTGCCATGACATCCACTGTTTCAACCTGGCTCTGCTTGCTAAACGGGCATGGCGTCTCATTGATAATCCTGACTCCTTGTGTGCTACTATTCTAAAGGCCAAGTATTTATCCTGATGGTGATTTGCTGAACTCCAAGCCAAAGCATGGTGCTTCTTTCACCTGACAAAGCATTATGGAAGGCATTACTACTCTCAAGCGTGGCAATATTTGACGAGTGGGGGATGGACACAACATCAATATTTGGGAAGATGCATGGATCTCAAATTGTGCCACTAGGAAGATTGTGACCCCTAAGGGGGGACATTTGTTATCGAAAGTGGTTGATTTGATTGACCCGGCCTCCAATAACTGGGATGAGGACTTGATTAGACAAACTATGTGGCCCATTGACGCACAACACATTCTTTCAATCCTAATTTCGCAACATAATATGACATATTTTATTGCCTGGAGCTATACGAAAAATGGTATGTTCTCGGTACGATCTGCTTACTATGTGGAGTGGAATTATCAGTATGGAAGTAAGCTAAAACATTCCAATGGGATGGGGCGAACCACACCTAACCCTATATGGTGTCAGATATGGAAGTTATCATGTCCGGCAAAAGTCAAAATTTTCTTATGGCGGACACTACATGGCACTCTTCCATGTCGGGCAACCCTCACCAATAGACATATGAAGGTCTCGCCTGTTTGCCCTACCTGTTCTCGGGGTGTAGAAGATACGAAGCACTTGCTTTTGCTATGTACAAAAGCAAAGGAAGTATGGAAAATGTTAGGAATGGATGCGATTATTGATAAAGCTTGTGAGATTGATCGTGCTGGAGAGGCGATACTCCTTCCAGATCAAGATATGCATATTATGGGGTACCAAAATGTACGAGAAATGATAGCTATCTTAGCGTGGTATCTTTGATGGGAAAGACGGAAATTAGTGCACAAGAAATTAACTCAGAATGCGACTCCGATATCAATGGGGATCATAGCTCTTACATACAATTTTGTAAATGCGTCGTCTTCAAAGGCGTCCATGAAAAGGGGCGGTTGGCACTGTCCTCCTAGGGGCTTCGTGAAACTAAATGTTGACGCTTCTTTTGACCATGACATGTTGAAGGGTACAATGGGGGGGGGGGGTCTTGAGAGATGACAAGGGTAGGTTTATTGCAGGAGGAAATGGAAAGATCGACTACTGCGCGGATGTCCTGATGGCAGAAGCTCTAACTCTTAAATTTGGCGTAATTTTAGCGCAAAGGGCAGGATGTAACCGCCTAATCATCAACTCAGACAATCTGGGGGTGATTGAGACCATGCAGGATGAAGGACAGTCAGCGGGGGAGGCGGCAGCGATTTTCAATGACTGCTATCACTATGCATGTGATTTTATTATGACTAGATTCAAACATTGTAATAGAGAGACAAATAAAGTAGCACATGAATTTGCTAGATTAGTTAGATTTTTTTCAACTTCGAATTGGTTTGAGGAACCTCTTAGTGAAATTGTAATGATCCTCACAAACGATACGATGTACTTGTTATTTCTAATGAATAAAGTTTTGTTTTTAATTCAAAAAAAGTAGTCAGAGTAAGCTGTAGGGAGCATTCTAGATTGGTCCTCTTGCTACCTTGATCATTCACCACTTGCATAATTTAATCGCACAAACACTCTCCTTCCTCGAAATTCTTCTTATGCTAATGAACACACCCCGCAAGAAGAAACGCCCGGAAATTCCCAAGACGTCCGTCGCTGTCATCCCCAACATTTCGCCGCCGGCCGGCCGCTCTCTTGCTCTTTTTCCCCCGCCATGTCTCTTGTCCTCTTCTCCGTCCATCCCCTGAACCTAGTTACAAGAGCAGGCGGCTGGCATCACTAGCTCCGCAATCCGATCCGATCGACACAGCCGACATGCTGAGGTTACTGATCATTTGGGCAGCGATCTTGGGCTGCTGCCATGGGCAGTCCGAAGTGTCCCGGAGGAACAGCCTCCTGAGGGTGATGTCACCGCCGGAGCTCGAGGGCACATACGGCTGTGCCAGTGCCGACTTTGGTTTCCCGCAGCACGCTGGCTCCATGACCGGCGTGGTCGTCTACCCAAGGCGCAACAAGATGGCTTGCATGAACTTCGATGACTTTGGCATCTCTTTCCGTTTGCGTCGAGCTGGCGGACCTCCTGTTTTCTTGCTGGTAGACAGGGGAGGTAAGACACAGTAAATTTGTCCATTCTCTTTTGGCCTTCATTTTCTCTTTGATAGTTTTCTCATTTTCCACTGCTGAAATTCTTAATCTCGTACTCCCGTCCTATGATGAAAGGCGTTTTATGACAGTCATAAAACGTCTTACATTATGGGACGGAGGGAGTAGTACTCACTTCAATCCATTACGTTTTATGTTTCTGTTATAGGGTTTACTAGGTTGCGACGGGAGAAAAGAATTGTTGGTGTGTCTGTCGTTGCCATGGGAGAACACTCACATATGAGATGCTATCAAGATTCGTCATAACTGAAAACTTAATTATTCATTTGTTAAAGTATCATACATGCATTTGTCTACATAAAGAGATCTGGTTAAATGCCCATGCATTTCTATGGAGAAAAAAAAAACCGATTGTAACTTTCTCGTTTGCCAATTAAACCTAGGCACCTTGACCACCTTTAACCTAAATCTACTTTAGTCACGATCAACGTAGGAGAAAAGTCTCTGATTAAAAAAACTATAAATCGAACGTAGTTTGGGAAGAGGGTATGTATTATCGTCATTACCATCTAAATTTGTTCGTAGCCTCCTAGATATTTTTAGAAACATCATACATCAATATCACGCTTGGCAATCTCAACCGTGGTATTGGCTGAATCTCGATGCAAAAATTCAGAAAATGCATCCTGTCTACTACTTCTCAGCTTCAGTAAACAACAGAGCATTGTTGCCATAGTTAGAAATTAAATCAGGTGAAATTAGCAATGCAATGTACAACAGACCAACCAAAATCTGAGTTTACGCATGCACTACAATCCATTGTGATCTATATGCTGGAGTTACCTAAACAAATACTACTATTGATAAGAGTAGGTGTGATCCCCCGCAAAAAAAAGAGATAAGAGTAGGTGTGACAAACAAACAAACTACCATAGCACCGCACGTCTCCACATGCACATAAAATTGCAGCTCAGAAAAGCTTATGCTGGTTTTACCCCTTTTTTCCTTTTCCTTTCGAGGTGAACTCTCTTTTTTTCGTGAACTCAGTTTGAGGCAAATAACCCCGTCGTCGCTGGGCCTGCCGGCCGTCGGGCACCTCCACCTACTCGGGAGCCTGCAGCACCGGAGCCTCCGGTCGCTGGCCGCATCCCATGGCCAGGTCATGCACCTGCGTCTCGGCCGCGTGCCCACCGTGGTGGCCAGCTCCGCGCCCGCGGCGGAGGAGGCCATGAAGACCCGCGACCTGGACTTCGCCGGCTGCCCCACGCTCCTCATGGTCGACCGCTTCTTCTACGGCACCGAAGGCATCGTCTTCGCGCCCTACGGTGACCACTGGCGCCAGGCGCGCAGCATCTGCGCCACCCACATGCTCAGCGCATGCCGGGTCGCGTCCCTGGGCGGCGTCCGGGCGGAGGAGGCCGCCGCGCTCGCCGGCCGGGTCCGCCGCGCCGGCATCTCTGGCGGCGTCATGAACCTGAGTGACAGCCTCATCGTGTAATCTAACATGGTCATCTCCCGCTGCACGCTCGGCGACGCGGAGTGTGGGGTGGAAGGCGGCGGCGCGAGGCTGAGGAAGGCGTTCGGCGAGATGGAGGAGCTCCTCGACACGGTGCCCATGGGCAGTGCCGTGGCTGCGGTGGGTAGACACGGTGACGGGGCTGGTGCGGAGGGCGAGGCGCGTCTTCGAGGAGATGTACGTGCTGCTGGAGCGGGTCATCGCCGACCACCGCCAGCGCCGTCGTGTCGCCACCCGGGACGACGAGGGAGACTTCGTGGACGTGATGCTAGACGACGACGAGCTGGACACGGACGTTCGATGCACGCAACGTGGTTCCCCGAATTAGTACCACCTTGTGGATATGTTTTTAATTTAAAATGAAAGCGTAAATTCAGAGGTAGAAAGCGTGTTGTGATGGTGAACCCGGAGACCCAATCCGTGCTTTATTATTAAAAAAAAATTAGGGAGAGATTATCTCCGCGTTCCCTCGACCAACACGGATTCGAAAAAAGTTTATGAATTTGAAAAAACATTCATGCATTTGACAAAAGTTAACGGATTTGAAAAACAATTGCGGATTTAAAAAATTACGGATTACAAAAAATGTTCATGAATATGAAAAAGTTTATGAATTTGTAAAAAGGTCACACTTTTAAAAGTACTAAAAAAGAAAAAGGGGAAATAATGATAAAGAAAATACGAAAAAAGCCCAACAAAACCCAACCTAGAGAAACCAGAGGGAAACCGCCCCTGAAAAAACCGTCAGAGCCTTCTAGAAGGTTCTGAAAACCGGTGAGAAAATAATCTACATGGACCGGCCCATATAGGAACTACACCTACTAGATGTGTGAGCGTGTTTGTCGGAGTAATGGGCCACGGGTAGGCCGACCCGGGACCCAGGATCTTTCAAGACATCGGGGCAAGCCGCGCCCCTCTGACCGCATCCCAGCTGGCGACCTTCGGGGAGGCCGAGTCCCAGCTGGCGACCTTCGGAGAAGCCGAGTCCCAGACGGCGACTCTGGAGCAGGCCGACTCTGGGCTTGCGACCTTCGGGGGGCCGACTATGAGAGTCGGCCCGCGACCCTTCAGGAGGACCCATGCAGGGCACGGCCCCGACATGGCCGTCCCCTCCAGCTCACGAGGGGCGGGCATGGCTACAGTGAGCCATATCACCGAGAGATCTCCGGTGAGGCGCCGCACTGTTGCCATGCCTCCCCTGACCTCAGCCACAGTGCGCGACGCACTGTGGCCACGACGCCGGCCTGTACGGCCCGAAGATCGCCGGGCCACCTGTCAGCGAGAGGATCGAAGACGGCCAGAGTGCCCGAGGACGGCCGTGAGGGAGTCGGCCTCCTTGGAGTCGGCCGCCTCCCAGTCAGGGCCCCACAAGCCATAAACCAGATTGAACGGGGAATGGCGACAGTGATCGCCTGACAGACGGCGGCACTGTTCCCACGACCCCATGACCGAGCCTGCGTCATCAGGAGCGCCGCACAGTGTCGACCTGTCCGCGGGACCCACCAGTCGGCGGGCCCCAGAAGCCGGCATAAAGGACGGCGGCGTGAGAGACAGACGGCTGGGGGCCACGCCCAGTCAGATTACTATTGTACCCCCGGGGGGTAGGCCTATATAAACCCCCCGGGACACCCATGCAAAGGGTTCGGCCTTGGATAGATTTAGACACATAGCAAGCAGGGGAGAGAGCCAGCCTTGCTCCCTCCTGCCTCCCGAAACAGCTCAAGGAGCACCTTTGTATTATCACACCATAGTGATCATGCGGAGACCCCGCAGAGCAGCAGTAGGGGTGTTATCTCCCCGGAGAGCCCCGAAGCTGGGTAAGATTCGCCGGTGTGCATGTTTGCGCCTCATCCCGTTTCCAGGCACCGGCGACGTTCTACTCGCCCCCACCATGATAAGCCACCCGTTGGCATATGTCGCATCCAACCCTCGACAGCGTTCTAAGACTAACGAGTTAACCAGCCCGTTAAGCGCCGAAGATAATTTGCCTGCTTGAAGAGACCACTATTTACCGAAAAAGGCTTTCGCCCCGCTTTATATTATAAAGCCAACCGCACAATAAGCATCCAAGAAGATCCAGCACACAACAGACACACACACATGGAGGTTCACAGGAGCCAAAATAGTACAACATAGGGTCATAGCTGAGGGCACAGCACAACAAGCCCAAAACCCAAAAAAAGCACGCCACAGTCCACATAGTCGCCAAGCGGACTAGTCAGGCTCAGGAGGAGGAGGCGGCAGTGGGGGAGCCACGCGGAGCGCCATCGAGCGGAGATCGGAGAGGAGGGCGGTGATGACGTCCCGGTCCTGGGGGCGGCTAAGCGGTCGCCAAAGCTGCAGGTAGCCACAATTTGAAGATTGCGTCAGTCGCACGACGAAGGGGCACCTTCTGAATAACAAGCTTATTACGAATGTTCCAAAGCGTCCAGGCGAGAACCCCCACGCACAGCCATCTAATATGGCGGTAGCGGGCAGGGCAAGCGTTAAGCTCGGCAAGCAGGTCGGGGAAGTTGGTATTACACCACTGTCCACCAACCGTTTCGCGGAAGCAGGCCCAAAGGAACTGGGCAGAGTGGCACGAGAAAAAGATGTGGTTAGCATCCTCAATGGTGCCACAGATGGGGCACCTCCCATCACCCGGGCCATTCCGCTTGAGGACTTCAACACCAGAGGGGAGCCGGCCACGGATCCATTGCCATAGGAAGATCCTGATCTTCAGCGGGAGACGGATATCCCAGATCAGGCTAAATGGTTCCGGGGCCGACGAGGGAGCAATGGCACCGTATAAGGACTTCGTGGAGAAACGTCCAGAAGGCTCGAGGTGCCAGGACAGAACATCCCGGTCCTCCGCCACCTCCATCGGCAGAAGAGCAATGTCCTGGAGGAGGGAGTCCCAGGCGGCCACCTCAAGGGGGCCAAACGGGCGCCGGAAGGCGAGACGCCCTAAGTCAATAAGGGTCGTCTCGACCGAGACCCGAGGGTCAACCGCAATGGCAAATAGCTCAGGGAAACGCACCGCCAGGGGGGCGTCCCCTAGCCAACGGTCGAACCAAAACAGGGTCGAGGCTCTGGAGCCAACAGATATAGAAGTGCCAATGCATAGTATGGGCGGGAGCTGGATCACGGACTGCCAGAACTGAGACCCGCCCGTACGTTGGCAAAAGGCAAGAGGTTGGCCACGAAGGTATTTATTGCGGATGATGGTGAGCGAGAGGCCTCCCTCCCCGTTGGCAATACGCCACAACCAGCGAGTCAGGAGGGCAATGTTCATGCGTCGGGAAGAGAGGATCCCAAGACCCCCCTGGTCTTTGGGCTTGCAAATGTCGGCCTAGCTCACCATATGATACTTCTGTTTGTCGTCCTCGCCAGCCCAGAAGAACCTCGACTGGTACGGGTAACTAGAGGTTTAGGTCCAGCGGCTAAACAATGATGTGGGGAGCTCGAAGTTGAAGATACGTGTGCCCACTGCCCAAGAAGGATTTGAG